TTAGAAGGTACAAGGTACAAGGTACAAGAAATGAATGAACTAAAGTGCTGGCTTACTACATGTCTACAGTCACAGAAATAAGATTCGTGAACTCTGTAGTTAATACACCTCCTTTTTTTTTTTTTGAAAGAGTGGGTTATATTTTCTTCCTACATTAGAGTAAATCTGTGCAGAGATGTGCAGAAATTAGGGACATTTTTTGATACATAGTATTCAGACTATAAAATATTCACATTTTGTCTTACTGCTTGAAATTAGGAAAACATTCAGCCCTTAAAAAGCTTCTGGATTATTATGTAAAAAATGAGAATTCCAACATTTATGGCCAGCAATTCTTGGGAAATCATCTGGAGGAGACAAGAAGTTGAGAATTATTCTTAAAATGATTTGGCATAAGTTTAGTTTGAGACAAATTAAGATAACCAAGATATATAGTTTGCTGGGGAAATAAGCCAACTTTAATTTAATTGTTTATTGAAGATAGGATTTTCTTTTAAAATGATGGATAAATGAATCCCATTCTAAAGTGTGTGGATTCTAGAAAATGTAACCGCATTAAAGTTAGCTCTTCTCAACCATAGTTGGAAAGTAAATCAAAAAGTTCTCATAGTAACCAGCTTCCAAAATTTGCTGGATGAGAGTGTGTGTGTTGGGGAGAGATGAATATGTGTATGGGGCACCTTAAAATAATAAAATAGGTGGTATTTTTATTATTTTCTTTTATATTTCATTATTTATATAATAAAAAAGTTTATGTTGTTACTTTATTTACTACTTTTCTGTTAGCTCTTAACATTCCTTATGACAATCCTCTCCTTGAGGTTTCCAAAACAGTCATGGAAAATAAATCTCTATTTCTTTTTTTCTCCTTTCTGTTAGCAATTTCTAACTAGCTTCCAAAGGACACAAACAACACGGTACCTGCAGAGTGCAAGATTCCTGCTTTAGCAGACAGAGTTTCCTAGAAGGAGATAGAGCTGGGAGAGAAGAGGCAAACACCTTCAGCACTAAGCACTGCCCTGGAAGCTGAAGTTGAGAAACCATTTCTGCCTGGAAGGAGTTGAGCCTCGAAAGAACACTGGAGGGCTGGGCACCACTCCCCACTTCAACCAAACGCTGATGTCATCTTTTGCACAGCAAAACAACCCCTCAGGGGTTAATTGAAAGCCCCCCCCCCCCACTCAAGGTGAAATTCGAATTTTGTCTTGTTCACAACTGCTAACATCTTCAACTGGCCCAATTGTCCTTGAGTCCTCCTCTCGCCTCCGTCCTGGCATTAAATGCAAATAAAAATAGTGCAAAAGAAAGTTACTCAATCCAGATAGACAAGGTCTTTGGAGTTCTGACTCAGTATTTGGGTATGCATTTTGTCCTTTTCGGGGAACTGCAAATCCTTCTCTTGGAGACTTCTAGTTCCATTCAGCTGAACAGGACAAGTGGGACAGTCCTGGAGGAAAAGGAGTCACCCCCATATCCTAAAGTACTTGGAAGGGCTCATTTGGTTCTGCCTGGAGACCGAGCTAGGGCGACTCCACCGGTCGCCCTGGCGTCCTCAAAGCTGCAAACTTTAAAGCGAAACCAGAAAGCATCACTCTCTCTAGTGCCTCCAGAACTGACTTCCCTTCTGTGGAGGCTCTCGCCCGCGATTTCTTGGAACACTGGGTTATCCACTTCCTTGACTAGACGCTCATCAGGAAAGCGCTCTAGATTTCAGTGGAGACTCTCCAGCACTCGGGGTGTTGACTGGAGTATTTGTCCTCCGGAGTCCCTTTGGAGATTTGTCTGGAATCCTACTGGTCAGTATCTAGCTCCTCGGAATGGATGCTTGGATTCTCGAACTCACTTCCCACACTGCAATCTACCGCTGGGGACTGCTCTGCATCCGGGAGCCTCAGCCAGTGTGGCCGAACTGGATGGAGACTGCGCGGCGGGAACCAGAGTCCCAGACAAGCTCCTCTGAAACCTAGCAGCCAGAGGGTAACCCGGATTGCTAAACACAGGAATGCACCACCCCGGGGTAAACCTGAAACCCGGGTCCGGCCGAAAAGAGGAGAGCCCAGGGAAGAGAGGAGGAAATGGGAGCAGTTACCACTTAAAGTACTTCAGGCTGAGTTCATCTCTCAAAGAGGAAGCTGTGTGGGTCTTGATTACGCGTAGGTGCCTGTGCGCGCACTCGGATCGAGCCCGTGGGTGTGCCTGAGTGTGCGCGCCCTTGTGCATTCACAAGGCAACGGTATAGCCTCTGGAGTTCTATTGGTAGCAAAATTCCAGAGCCCCCTATCCTGGAAGGAACTGTGCGGTTCAAGTCTTTACCAACCACGCGAAGAAGGGCTTCTTGTTAGCCAGCTTCCCAAAGCATCCCTAAATTCTTGCACTCAGGTTTGGTTAAGATTGGTGTCTGGACTGCAAGGGGGAGGTGCGCGCACAGAAACCGAAGATCAAATGTTCCTAAACTCTACCCAGAAAGGACTGGGTTCCGACCGCTCCAGTTAAGGAAGGAAGACTTTTCTTTAATGACTGGCTTTAGGGGGTTTCTGGGAGCTTTGCTGGGGTCTGGGTCCGGGATTTAATTGGATATCTAGGCAGAATTAAGAAAGTAAAGACAGAGAGAATCCTGCCCCCTCCCCCTTCCCCCAGAGAGGAGGCTCTTCAGGTTTCCTCTGCACCACACCTCTCTTGCTTCACATCCTTTCCCCAGTTCAAGTGACTTAAGTGGCCAGGCCTGCTTTCTGCCTTCTACTGGGGTCGGGATCAGCTCTGAACATTAAATGTGCTCTGTTGCATCACTTCTTTACTCCGAGTACAGTGCTGATTGCCAAATGTAAATGTTCTGTTCAGAATCAGCTTCCATCTGATTAGTAAGCAAATCACCCACCACCAACTAGGGGACTCTGGAAGCCAGCCCCGGGTGCCTGGGAGCATCAGCCGGTAGCTCTCAGGCGGGGATTCTCACCGCGGGGTTGTAACTAATCACTTTTCACACAGCCATTAGCAGCCACAGCCAGACAGGGTGACACCTTTCTTTTAATCCCTGAGCATCCCGACTGTGCGGGATCAGATCAGCAGTTCACTTCCAACAGAGGCGAGGGATGCCCCTGAAGTTCGCTTTCTTCCTTCGGGTTTTCCGCCGATTCCCCTCCCCCAACCCCGCCCGCCTGCAACGCCCCCGCGCCTCCTCTGCTTGGGGATTAGTAGGCACAGCGCTGGCCCTCTCCTCCCGCCAGCGGTAAATCGGTTCTCCGAACACGTCTAGCCGGGAGTCACAGAGGCCGAGAGCCCGGCGGCGCCGGCTTGGGGTGTAGCCTGATTCTAGGGGTCCGGGAGGTGCGGCCTTTCTCGTCACTGCAGCTAGGGACGGGCTCACGGCCGCGCGCCCGCCGCCGCCGCCGCCGCGCCGCCGCCTCCATGCTGCAGCGCGGAGCGCAGCTCCTCCGGTCCAGGCGGCCGGTGTTGTTCGCTCTCACAGCGCTGGGGATCGGCTTTCCCAAGCCTGCCCAGGCGGCGACTGAGCTCTCCGACCGCAGCTTTCAGCCTCGCGCCTGAGCTGTGGACTCACCCCAGCGCCTCCGCCAGCGGGAGGGGCGCCCACCGCGCTGTGTGCAGCGGCGCAGGGAGGCGGTGAGCGTGTGCAGGGCGGCCGGAACCGTGTGTGTGTGTGCGTGTGTGTGTGTGTGCGTGTGCGTGTGTGTGCACGCGTGTGTGTGCGTGCACGCGTGTGCGCGTGTGTGCTTTTCTTCGTTCCTTGAAGATGTGAATGGCTTCTCAGCTAGCTGGTCCTTGGGATTCTTGACTTTGGGAGCTGTGAGCCCAATCCACCCATGTAATTCATGTTGCATGGTCGGTTATACCAGGAAAAAAGGCGCAACTGGACGGGGGTGGGGCAGATCCACGAAACATTCTGAAAACGAGAAATAGAAAAGGGGAAGATATAGAAATATGAATATTGAAAGATCTAAGAAGACTTTCGGGATCCCCCAGCTGGCCCTTCCTTTTTCCGGCACGAACCTGGACGTTTTCCACCTTTTCAAGTCATCTTGGTGTTTCTCTGATGTTCTCTAAGCCGCTTTCCAGCTAGCTGCGTGTGTGTATGTGTGTGTTTGTGCGCGTGTGTATGTGTGCGCTCCTATCGGATGCATTTGACATTCTTTTTTTTTTTTTTTTTTTCCCAACTGCCCAGAAGCAAATGTGTTAACTCAGAGATGCCCCTCCATGCCCAGGTTCTCGCAGAGCGCGGAGGACGTCCAGATCCGTTTTCCTGGCTGGATTCCGGGCGACTGCTGGGCTCTGGAGCCAGGTGTGTGGATTACTTAATCCAGAGGCTTGGAAAGTAGCTGTTTTAGCCAGCTTCCAGGTACATCGCAAGGTCAAGAGAGGGTCTTGCAGCTGTTTTATTTGCCTGCACCTTGGCTTTCCTGTATTGGTCAGAAGAATATGAACGTGCCTGTCCACAACATTTGAAGCCCAAACTTCAGCTCTTCCACCTGGTTTACTGTATAAATAAGGTAATGAGGATTGCTTTGCAAACTGCGTAAGGAACCCCCGACGCTCCCATTGCCCTTCCAGGATTCCCTTACTCCCCAGCGAAATGTCACCAGCTTCTGACTTCCAAGGATTTGGGCTGCAGGAGAACTTGAAGGAAACGTGATCAAGGGCTATGTGAGAAAGAGACTGCTCTCTTTGCTGGTGGGCTGGTGGGCTTCGCGAGTGGATCTTAAGAAGGACCGGTACTGTTTCTCCCTCCGGATGCGGAGCTGGGAGTGCTTGTGCAAGTGTGAGTGCGCGCGCGCCCGGCTGAGAATGTGTGAGTGTGTGTGAGCGTGTCTCTGTGTGTGCGCGGCCGCCCTGCTTCTGCCCGCTCCCCGGGCGCGGAGCCACCGGTTTCATGGGGCCATTTGCGCTGATTCCCCACCCAGTGCGACCTGCGGGCAGTGGCGGCAGTGGCAGAAGCCACCTCTCTGACTCCCTAGGATGCGGGTGCTGAACTATGGCAAAGGGCAGCGAAGTGATGAGCGAGACCCCAGCACGACCGTGAAAACCACCTGGAGCCACCTTGCCTGGATCTTACCTGCGGGCAGAAAGTCCTCCTATGACCGTCTTTCCCCCTAGAGGCACCAGGTAACAATGAAGGACTACTTGCCTCACCCACTTTCCTTAAGGGCTTGTTTCTAGCATCATATCTGCATTGCAGGCTACTTTACTTATTAATGTTTTGAAAATCATTAGCAAGGGTTGGGTACCCAAGGGCGCTTGCTCAGCGAGGGGGCATGCAGTTCCCGGTACATAGAATGTAAGCCTATACCTGAACACTTAATGTGGTAGTGAAACCTAGAAATATATGAATGCATCAAGCCTGAGGATAGTTTTTGAAAAGGGCCAGTCTTGTTGAACCTGTCTGAAGGTGCCAGAGATGAATGGTTCATGTTTCCTTTAGGCTATGGCTGCTGCGGACCATTTGGTATCCAACCTCCAGATACTGGAGTGAGATCCGGTGTTTGTTTCCCCGCCCCCTACATCTATCAAATATTTTTTTATTATTTTTATGTTTTTTCTTCCCCTGACCTTTCTACTTATTGTACCGGGTTGTTTTCCTTCCTCTGTTGTGTGCAACCCTTTTAATAGTTGTGAATTATGCATCTGGAGACTTTGATGTGAAATGGAGTTTTCTTGGGACTTGCTTAGCATGGGAAAGAATTCGTTGTCAAGGGTGTACATTGAGTCGAGGTGTTTAACTACCAGGGTTTGGTTTGATGTAGCAGAATGGATGCACGAAAGAAGTCGTTTTTATGTCTAGGAGAACGAGGCCAAAAACCAATAGCCACCACCCAGCCCCAGCCCCAGTGACAACATCAGTCCTGGCCCCTCCCGCTTTATCTCGGGGTGGGGGGTGTGGACAGAAGCTTGTGTTCCTGTGTTTGTTGTTTGTGTACAATAGGTGTTTTGAAAATTCCTTTGAGTGCTTTGATTTAAAACCAGGCTGGATCTGAGACTGTCTTATTAACATACTGGATCTGATGTGTGAAAATGGAGATTCCCTTCTTGCAAGGAGGCAGAACACGTTTAGTTAACTTCCAAAGCCCCTATCTTTGCGCCTTGTTCATTCTGTCTTCCGCGATCACCACAGTTGCCTGCTCCCTACAGAAAATTTCTCTTCTTTCTCCAGGGTATTTGAATTAACAACATAAAGCACTTCCAAAGTAGTCTCATCAATGTTTAAGTCCATCGTGAAGATGGTCTGAAAAATTCAGCTGAGTGCTGGATTCTCTCCCGCTTTGGGAAGCTGCCGGGTGGCAGGAGCACTCCACCGAGGTTTGGCCTGGTGGGTCCCCCGTTCACCAATATAGGAGGCACCGACTGAAGGAGGTGGAACAGAGTACAGGATGCTGTCTTCTGTTTGCTAGAGCTGTTTAGGAAGTGTAGGGAGACTGCCTGGTTGTCTTCAATTCCCTTCGTTTCTATAGATATCCATATGATGGCATTTGCAGATTACAAGCTAATGGGTAGCTGCTCTAGTTGTCCCTGCGCGCCGACGTCCTCAAATCCTGCTCTAGAGTGGAGATTCGGCTGCTGCTGCAGCCCTTGCAGAGTGGTGGTGCTACAAGGCCATGTATGCAGCGGGCTTTGGGGGCTGGGCTCCACCACTGCAGCTGGCAGGTCTGCTTTGACACTACTTGGGGCGGGGCCCGAGAGCTGGGCAGGCACCCTGGCAGACAGTGGGGCGCATTGTAGCTGTGGTGGCTGCACAGGTCTGAGGGAAGAGAAATGGGAGTTGAGTAGGGCGGTGGTGTTTGACCACCTATTATGACTACAGCCCCCTATTACTCCCCTTCATATGAGTATTCAAGAACGTATGATGGGAGCTAGCTACAAAAAATAATGTTTGACATTCAAACATTGCATGATTTATCGGGATTGAAACCTTGATGCCAAATGTGTATTTCCTAGATCCCGGTTTCCTTTTTCTCTTCTCAAGCTCTCCTGGCTTCCATCAGGTCATTTGCAACCTGGTTTTGCCTTCAATTAAAGCAATAGCACATGAAATCAACTAATCTTAACTTTATATTCAAATATGAGATCTAGGAGAGTCACTTTTTAGACGGGTTTAGTGTTTAACTTCAATGCAGACGAAAGATATAGATGCTAACTCAACTCTGTCAGTAAGAAAATCCTTACTGTCTGAGGACTGGCAAGAAAAAAAATCCCATTGCCTACATTCAAAGAGGTGTAGAGGAAAATACACCACCAAACAAACAACAGACAGAAACAAGATGAAACAAGCAAGCAAACAAACAAAAACCAAACCCATTAATTGAAGGTATTAAAGATGGTTTCCCATCAACTCTCTTTCCTTATTTTTAGTGAATTTATTTGAAATCTATCACTAATGCAAAGCTACATACAAAGCTGATTTACGTGGTAAACATCTCATAACTTGTTAGCAAATAACTCATACATACCCAGAAGATGACTAAAAAAAATTATCATTCCGCTGAAGAATGTTGGTGCTGGAAAGATAAATATTTTCCCATCTCGGTTTCACTTCCCTTCGTCTTTTCTCACTGTGGACTTCCTCTTTGGTAGGTCACTTCTTATCTTTGTGAGCCCATTTTCAGGAAAGACAGACAAAGCCATGAATCAGAGTTTGAATCCTCAGAAGCTTGAACATACATACATTGTGATATGATTCAGGTTCAAAAGGTCCCTTTTGGGGACATAAGGAAACAGATATTCTAGCAGTATGAAGGAAGGAGAGAAGGAGAGAAGAAAAGAGGGAGGGAGTAAGGGAGGGAGGCAGGGAAGGAGGAAGGGAGGCTAGCTAAAACTGAGTTGGAGATGGGGTTCCACCCCCCTGGTTAGACATTATCCCAAGGCAGAGGTATCCTGGCTTGCTGAGGGGTTAAGGTATTGATAGAAAACTTCCCAGCAGAAATCTCTTTTACAAATCAGTTCTTAGTCATTCCTGTAAGGAAAATAATGGGAAATAGAGGACTACAGAGAAGTACCTCAGCTTTAAAGGAGTTGTCACCAGATTTTCCTCCTCTATAGGATGTCTTTTAGTGACCCCCCTTTTTTTTTTTTGGTTTGGTAAAGAATGACCTTGAACAAGACCTGTATTCTGTGTTCCACATACCTTTTTTTTCTTAATTAAAAATATAATGTATCCATGTATATGCTCACACATTTCAGTTCTGATATGTGATTCACATACTAATTTGTTCATCAGTGCATGTCTCTCCCTGAGAGTAGTCACAGGTAATTTCGTTCTTTTTCATCCAGAGAATCAGAAGAGACGGAGTGATCTGATGAAGGATTGCCTCGCCCCTACTTTTTTTTTTTTAACGTTATCGTTTCCTCTCCTGCCATTCAGTAGATTCTTGATGTGGAAGCAGTGTCTTCCTTTGATTTGAAATTTAAGCACAGTCCCATGTTTCACCCACCTGCATCTCCTGGAAGGAATATCATTTTCCTTTGTCCATTTAAGCCAGGGCACTGCTGCTTGAAGCACTTTTGGCTTGGTGGTTTTGCTGAGTTTTCTAGCTGGTGAAATTGGGAGCAAGCTTTCTGCTGACTGTCTTGCTGTGCTGGTACATAGTCAGGATGAGATACTTGCATTTCTCTAACCCTGTTTCTGTCTGACCCTGGAACAACCTCACAACAACTCCTCAGGACTTTATTCATACACAAAACATCGGAAGCATTTTAGCTAATATTGAAGTAAGAGGAAGAAGAAATCACTTGAAATTTTTTGTAGAATTAGCTTGCTAACCTGTTGCTTTATTCTAGTGATTTTTTTTAGTAAAAACAAAATGGAACATACTGGCACTTTTTTCAGGGTTTCTTTACTTTTTCTGGTACAATACAAATAGTTCTAAGCTTTATGTTTCATGGAAGAGTAAGGATTAAAATGTAGGCCTCCACCATATGGGGTGACTCTAAGATAGACGACTAACAGATTTTGTTAAATCATTTCAGTGACACTTATACACAGTTAAGTCTCGATAATTTCTGTTCACATTCTCATTCCTGTGTCATCCTTAAATCTTAGAACCTAAGGAAATGTAAGCTACATGTTATGTGGTGTATGTATGGTGAAGTTAATAAGCTCTTATGTTTTCAATATAGAGGTCAACCATTTTTTACTATACTCTATCACCCTAAATTGTACAGCGCTCTGAAGCCCTCCATAAGTAAAGAGGAAACAAGAACTTTATTCAGAAAAAGTAGATACTATATTTAATATTTTTGGATCATTCTGGTAGATACTGTTCTTACAGAAGGCTTTTTGCTAAACTATATGACAATCTAATAGTAATTATGAATGATAGGTAACAAGTGATTGAAAATTACAACATAATTACATGGTTATATAAATGTACTATCAGGGTAGTGATGCCAAGTAAAGTTCATGAACAGACTTTAATATTTAAGCTGCAAAATTTATTGATAACATTTGTCTGAAGCTAATAATTCATGTCTTAACTTACAAGGTTACATGGGAAAATTCTTTGCTACACAGTAATTCCCAAAATTATAGAGGAAAGGACCACATGATCAATTCTTTTCATTCTGTTCATGTAAAAGAAATATATCACATGCAATATCTTATATTCTTTTTGAACATCCTTGGTAGGTATACTATATATATTATATTACATATAATGATTATATAAAAATTATCATATATGATTATGCATATATTCACACATACATATACACATATGTGTATATATACATACATATACACACATATAGTGAATTTCAGAGAACATCGTTAAGACTTTTAATAGAGTTTCTTAGAATTAATGTTACAGTCCCTGTGAAGCATGATGGCAGGAATTGGAAATAAAATTGAATCTATTTTTCAGATTTTACTACATAAAAGGCCCTAGAAAGGACATAATAAGACAAATGATTAAAGTTAAGAGTGCTTTTAGCAAATGTTGGGAAACGTTTCTGGATTTTTATGAAATGTTTGAAAAAAGTGACACTATTTCAAGATATTCTTCATCACAGCGAATATGTTTGATTTAGACAGGAACAGAAGCCAAACTGTTTTGCTTATCTTCATCTAGTCTCCCTTGATCTTTTCAGCTCTGTTGATAAAGTGCTAACAGCCC